AGCTGCTGGGGATAAGGACCGACAGGTTTATGCTGCCACCAGTCAGGTCAGGGAGCACTGCCATGGAAATGTATTTGCTCCTGCGTGCCACATACAGCTGCCAGGGCAGGTGCCAAGCCACAGCACTATCTTTATAACTCGGTATTTGATGAGCACTGAGCAGGGGTGAGGGGTCATGCGTGCTCCCACGGTGGTGCCTCCCTAGCACCACCCGAGGCAGTGCAGACCAGCTCTACATGTCTACTCGGTGCTTTGCACAACGGTCCCAGACTGTGGCAGAGATCTCTGCTGTCGGAGAAATAAAAACAAGAGCACCGGTATATCTGCCCTCTGCTCCACCTGTTGTGCAGGCAGCAGCATCTTCCAGCTGGGCCCCTTTTTGACCCTCAGAAAAAGACAGATATGACAGTTATGTCTTCCAGCTGCATCACAGATGGCGCACGGCCACAGCAAGCCTATTCATGCAAAACAATATTGACCTGTTGCCCACGTGCCCAAGAGTTTCTCCCAGCTGAAGGGGACTGATGGTCAGGAGCTCATTCACCAGCACTGATGTAAGGAAGTCTATAGTTTGTGGATTCAGGCCTTTCATCCTGCAACGCTCTTCATGTTAGTGCAAGCCTACTTGAGGAAGAGCAAAGTTTGAGGTGTAATCTACAGTGGAGAGAGCTCTCTCATAGGAAGCAATGGGCATGAACCCCTACCTCCAACCCAAGTCCTCCTTCTGTCCAAGCACATAGGCCAAGGGCAGCATTCTGCACTGCAGCCATATGCTGGTGGTGTAGGAGTTGCACCTTTACTCCAGTAGCCTCCATTTCGGTTCCCTTTCTGGGATCAGCGAGATTAGACATTGCCAAGGAGCCGCAGGAGGTAGAGCGGCAGGGGTCCGTGGCATCCGGACCTTCTAGACACCATGCACAGGCGGCCCCAGGTGCATCTGTGCTGCCCCATCAGAGCCTAGCGGGGAAGCCAGGGCTGACGCACAGCCCAGCGGGAGGCTTTGCAGTGATGCCAGCGGATCAGAGCGCATTGCTTGTGTCAGCAGCTCTCTCCAGGAAAGGTGAGCAGCTTTGCAGGTGGCATTTGCCACCACATGAGCTCAATTTTTATGATCCAGTCGAGCTGCATTAAGTGCAAGGGAGCTGAAAGCAAGTGGCAGCTCATATCCATAAAATGCTCAGCCCCAGGCAGGACTGGGGGGGATGTGGTATATGGAAGGTACCTTTAAGGGGCCAGCAGTGGGATGACCCAGTCTCTCCCCCTCAATGCCCTGTGGGTTTGTGGGGGTGGGTAGTTGTAGTTCTTCCTGCAAGCTGTCAGCATGCAATTTGATGAATCCTGTTCCTAATAAAGATAATGCAGTTTACTACCCCACCGGTCTCTACTGAATGGTGACTCGAGGACAGGACCCCGAAGGCACAGCGGTCTGAGCAAGTGCCCCATCCCTGAACCCAGTGGCATACAGCAGATACTATATGGTGTCAGAAGTGACCTGTCTCGGAGGAGTCACCAGCAGCCTGATTAAGAGGGTTACAGTTTTCATTCAAAGAGAAAAAAAATGGAGCATTTCCAACCTCCACCAGCATTATCCTTTCCTGGAAATCCTGGGGAGAACTGGAGATGGGAACAGAAGCTCCGATTATCCCTTGCAGTCACGAAGGCTGAGGAAGAGGCAGAGGATTATAAAATTGCAGTCACGTTTCACTGCATGGGGGGATAAAGCCCTAGAGATCTACAACAACGTGCAAGGGGTGTTTGCAGACCCTAATAACACCCTTGCAGACGTGCTTGCCACATTCAACAACTACTGTGAGCCCAGGAAAGACCCCGTCTTTGAAAAGTCTCAGTTCTGGCAACTTGGACGCAGTGAGGCTGCAGGCATAGGATGATTTTGTTACAGCACAGCATTGTGAATTTGGACTTGCTGAGGATATTATGTTGAGGGACAAAATTATCTTCAGCATAACAGACTGCAAACCCAAAGAAAGGCTTCTGGAAAATCCCTCCCTCCCCCTAGCACAGGCTGTGGATATCTGCAGAGAAAGGCTCTCACAAGTGCTCAGGCCCAAGTTGTGTCTGCAAGGGCAGAGCCTGCAAAAGGTGCAGAAGCACACACAAGCCTCTGTCCTGCCCAGCTTTTGGAAAAACTTGTCACAAATGCTCAGGAGTGAACCACTTTGCAAAAGTGTGCAAGTCAAAGGGAGAGGCTCCAAAGTCTGCAAAAGGAGTCAGTACCCTATATATGGGCACAGTGTCTGCAAAGCAGCATTCACAGACCTTTGATATCCAGAAGGCCCTACTGGCCTCTCGGAGACCAAATCCAGATTCAGGATGATTTGCTTATGATTGGGTTGAAAATAATCATTCCAAGCCGTGGGAGGACTAACACGTTCACATTGCTTCACTCGCTCCATCAAGGCATACAAAGGTTGAAAGCGTGAGGTCGACAAAGCATGTATTGGCCTAAAACGAATGCCCACCTTGAGCAATGTTTCGTAGTAGCTAGGGTCAGGAGGGACCTGAACAGATCATCTAGCCTGACCT